ACTTTAATTATTTTTGCATTTTTAATTTTTTGTGTGTATGGGTGTTTTGCCTGTATACATGTGTGCACACACCTGCCTGGTGAGCACAGATACCAGAAGAGGAGCCGGAAAGGTTCCTCTGAAAGGGCAGCCAGTTCTTTTACTGGTTGAGCCATCTCTCCCGCAACCTCAATCATTGTCTTTTTGAGACACAATCTCAAGCATTCCAGGCTAGCCCTGAACTCACTATGTGGCCCAGGCTGGTTTTGAACTTCCGATCCTCCTGCCTTGACCTCCCAGTCAAGCATGACAGCATGCACCCTCATGATCTGTTCTATGCAGTGCTGGGGACCACACGGGGGCTCTATGCACACGAGGCAAGAGTTCTATCAGCTGAGCTTCCTCAGCCCCTCAAGTCAATTTTCAGTCAGTCAGGGTCTCATTAGATAACCTCAGATTAACCACCTTCGTGCCCCAGCCTCTCAATCACTGGATTACAGGAACGACCTACTGTACTTGACCTTAATAAAACTCTCACCCCTTTATTGACACTATTAATTCCATTGTCGTCTTATTTTGTTTTTCTGTTGCTGTCATAAAATACCCTGACAAAGGCAACTTAAGGAAGGTATTCTGCCTCGTGGTTCCAGAGGGATAACGCCCACTATGGTGGGTTGCAGGCAGGGCAGGTGTGGAGGCAGAAGCAGGGTGCTGACAAGTCATACTGTACCCACTACTCAAAAGGGGGAGCAGAAAGAGGAAGTGGAGTCTGTCTATAAAGCCTCAAGGCCCGCCTTCTGTGACCCACTTCCTCCAGCCAACCTCCACCTCCTAAAGGCTCCACAACACTTACTACAGACCAAGTTTTCAAACACATGAGCCTGCAGACATATAACTTTTATATATGTGTGTGGGGTGTGTGTGTGTGAACGAACGTTATCAGTTATCCCTGGTGCTGGAGTTACAGGTGGTTGTAAGCCACCATATGTGGGGGCTGGGACCCACATTCAAAGCAACAAGAGTAGCAAGTGTTTGCAGTCTCTGAACCATCTCTCCAGCCCTAGCAACAGCCATATTAAATGTGATTCCTTAAGTTTCTTTCCAGCCTGGCCTTGTGACACATACCTTTAATCCCAACACTTTGGAAGCAGAGGCAGGCAGATCTCTGTGAGTTCAAGGCTAGCCTGGTCTACATAGTGAGTTCCAAGACAGCCAGGGCTACATAGTGAGATCCTGTCTTGAGATAAAAATCAATAAAATTTAAACGGGAGGGAGTTGTCATTTGTTCCAGCGCAACAATCCCTCCAACACATGCTGGAGAATAAGCCAAAAATTAATGAGACTCTTATCTTTTGGATTTTAATTTATCCTTGTGTCTGGTGTGTGCCTGGGGAGTTCTCATACTGTGACACACACTGAAGTCAGAGGACAAGCTTGAGTTTTGATTTTCACTGTCCCCCTTGTGTGAAGCAGAGTCTCTTGTCCGCTCCTACATAAAGCCCTCAGGCTTTTAGGGATTTTCCTGTCTGCATCTCCCATTTCCCCTGAAAAGCACCAGGATTCCAAACACACATTAGCTCACCAGGCTTGTGCATGGACTCTGGAAATTTGAACTCAGGTCTTCAAGATTTTAGCGAAAGTGCTTTCCACTGAGCCCTGAGTGTGTGAGCCCTACTCACTCATCCACCTAAGCCCTGGGGAAGTCCCTTTCCTGAAACAACAGCAGCTCAGCCCAACACGCCCTTTTTTAAAAACCTCTGTTTTCCTTCAGACTTGTTCTTCATCATCAATAGCTCGAGATCCAAACCAGCCCAGAGCGGACCCCTTAGAGCCACTTAACGGCGGGAACGCCGACCACCCTCTTCTCCATCTCCATCTGCAAAGATCATCAGTATGTGTCCAGGGCTTCCGAGTTCCTGGACCTCTGCTTCAAAGAGAAAAGGCAAAACAAGGTGGATCAAAAGCCTTTCAAGATTTCTCCAGGCAAAGCAACACGCCAGCAATTTGCTTTTGCAGTGTGTGGGCGGACGGGTGTTTAAATTTAGAACCAACAAAAAGACTTTGCTGAGAAATCTATACGCTCCTTGCTTCTTGAGTATTAGTGGCACGAAACCCTAATCTTCCCCCTTCACGTGCTGACTGCGAGAACGCCCAGAAACTCGTTTCCTCTCGTTCTCTGTCTACTCCCATCATGCTTTGTACGCATGCCTTTTCTTTTACACCACCAAGAAATCATTTCGGGAGAAGCGAGCTTCATACGACTCAATAGAGCTTGGATAAAGAGTCATTAACTCAGGGAAAGAGAGGGTACATTTGTTGAGGAAAATGCCTGCGCTGTCTAAGGACTTTAGTGTGTAAGCAGAAGTGTGGCTTTGCTTTTTTTTTTTTTTTTTTTCAGAACTGTCAGCAGCAGGCAGACAGGCTTCTCGGGTGGAGCTTTCAGGACTATCAACCTCTGGGGAAGGGGCTCGAGGCTACAGTTTCTCCCAGTATCTGCCCATGACTTTCCCAGACAGTGAAACTTCTCTCAAGGAGACTTGGTGGGGCTTTCCAGTTTGGATCCAAGACTCACCCTGCAGGACAGGGTTTCCTACTTTCCCCTGAGCTTCAGGGAGGGTCAGGTGTTCCAGGCATTAGCTGGGACCTGGTAAGGGTCAGAGGTCCCAGCATCCTCTGGGTCTCAGCAAGGGTCAGGGAACTGGGACAAGCATCAAGTTCAAGTTGAGGGTGGGATCAGAGCATTTTATTTTCACAGTGTTTTTCTTAGGGAGCTGCAAAGATTTAAATGATCTAGGCATACTACAAAGGTAAGAGAAATATGGAGTATATACACAGCGGGGATTCAGCCATGAAGAAGAATGAGACGGGGCTGGGGAGATGGCTCGGTCAGTTCAATTCTTGCCTTGCAAGCACACACACACACAGAGAGAGAGAGAGAGAGAGAGAGAGAGAGAGAGAGAGAGAGAGAGAGAGAGAGAACCAAAAAAA